ATTGTTTATTAGGTTGAATTTTGTTGTTTCTACTACCGCTTCTAACATTTTTTGTCTCGCTTTCCTTTTCTTGGCTTCTCGGGAAGCTATATAGGATGTCTGTGTTGTTATTTTCCTGTTTGTGGAGTTCCCAAACTTGTTTGATCCCTGTTTTAAAATGATTCATGATGATTAAGGAATTGTTCAGTTAAAAAAAAACTCTTGCCCGGCGTATATTGTCTAGGGAGAAGGTGACGTGCATACTTATTTGATTGTGGTCGAATCCCCCATAGTGGGGGAGTTTGGATATTGATGCTCGTTTAACTACGCCTTCTAATGTTTTAGAGATGAGAAAGTAGTCTATTATGGAGAATGAGGTTCTTCCTTGAGTTGTTTTTCTTGTACATGTATAATCCTCTGTTGTTGGGTTTAGCATTCTATATGGGTCCCTTTGGTTCATTTCTGTGAGGAATTCTACCATTACCTGAGCTTCCGACTCCTCCACTGCTTCCTTAGCATGTGAAATTTTATTTAATGTTGGTTCTATTGTGGCGTTTCAGTCTCCGACTAGGATTTTGTGTCTGTGTCGTGGGCATTCCTACTTCATTCTTTCTAAGAAAGATCTTCTTTGTGTATTGGTGTTTGGTGCATATATATTGAGTAGGGAGAACTCTTGTTCCCTGTAAGCGAAGTCTGTTCTTGTCCAACGACCTTCTTTTGTATCTCTAGTGGAATTTCCTATTGTTAATAGTTGTGAGGCATCTGCTTTCTCGTGTATTATTGTTAATACCCCTACTGAGGCTGCTGTGGGGCTCACTGCCCATTCTGCATGCTTGATATGTTTCAGTCTTCTTAGAATCTCTTTGAGTGTGCTTTGGTGTTCCTCTGTTGTGGCCAAGTGAGTTTCTTGGATGCATAGGATGCCTGGCAGTTTGTTGTTCATCCACCCTGTCGTGCCAACGAAGCTGTGCCATTTTGTTGGTGTTGCCATGATCTGATTTCAAGCTCTCCTCTATCCATGTTGCAGACCCTGGGTGTTTTGGCAGCCCGGTTGCCTTTTCTTGCGCTAGCTTGCGCCATTTGCACAGGTCAGAGGCTTGAGGGTTCTTTGAGTGATAATTAATTTATGGTGAGAGGGTGTGGAGTTGCATGGGATCCTGGCTTAGCGAGGACTCCCATGTGTCCTCTTCCTTCGAGTACTCTAGCCCCTCCATGCCCTTTCCTTCCTTGTTGAAGGTCTGTGTTGCCAGTGTTGTTGCCAGGCTGGCTGCTGCCTGGATCATTGTGGTCTCAGAACCTAGCTCTATGAATGGGACAATTATGGGAGTTGGGCAATCTCCCACCAGGGTCTCCATTGCAGGTCCTCTCCCAGGTTCGTTTTTGGTCGTACAGTGCTACCATTGGGCGATTGTCCACGCAGGTTCCTTCCGGGGTTTCACCTTTCTCCTCCAGTTCCTGTACTCTTAGGAGTTCTCCCACCAGTCCTATTACGGTTGCCTTGGCTCCAGGTACAGCCCTTGCCAGCAACTCTTCTCTGCTTTGACCCTTTTCCAATCTTAGGAGTGAAAAGTTGGGAGTGGTTGCAATCTGCCACTCATTGGTGACGGAGTCCATTTTTACTGGGAGCACTGTCCTTGAAGATAGAAGTGTTCTGCTCTCTTGCCTCACCTTTTCCCAGAATGCATACTGTGTCTGATCGTTTAGGCTTTCCACTGTCGTTGCCTTTAGCCTCTGCTCATCGTTGAGGTGACCAAGTCTTTCCACTTGTGCACTCATAATTTCTGCTTGGAGAACCAGTTGCATTCTTTGGTCTTCCTCCTTGGGACTGTCCTCTTTCCCCTTCCCTTTAGTCTCTTTTCCTTTCAAGGCATGTCTTGTCCCCTCTTTTCTTTGAGATGCTTTTTGGAGTTCCTCCTTCTTTTTCTTGCTGTACGTCTCGGGTAGAGTTGGCATTTTGTATCTGTCTGATCTCCAGTTGCTGCCTATTTCTTTTCTTGCTTCTTTGCCTTTGTGTGTTAGTTCCTTCCTGGTCTTGCAGTATTGTTCTGCGTAGAAGGCTGCCATTTCTTCTTCCTTCTCCAGCGGGCCAGAGGGGATTGCTGACACCGGGAAGGGATGGTTGTGTGTTGTTGTTCCCGCCCTTTGCTTGAGTTTTTCTTCCTCTCTGTAGTAGGTCATTTGCAGCTCAAATCTGGATTCCCTCTCACTCTTTGCCTTTTGGATATATTGTTTAATCTCCTCCAAGGAGGCGTCTCCCCATGGGGCAATCTCTTCTTCGCTGAAAAGGTCTTCTTCCTCCTTTTCCTCCGTTTGAATCCTTTTGGTTGTTATGCTTTTCCCTTCCTTTGGCTTCTTCCTTTTTCCCCCACCATCGCTTTGTCCTCTGTTTCTGTTCCCTCGTTATCTTCCTCTCCTGCCCCATCCAATTTGTTTGAGAGTTGTCCACCTCCATCCCTTCTGTTCCCTCCCGTGGTTGCTTATCCATCTTCTGTTGCCCCCTTCTTGAGTACGTTGATGGTGTTTTCCTCCTCTCTGCCTCCATCTCCCGTTCTCTTTCTTGTCTGTTCTTTTCCTTCTCCGGCATTTCCTTTTCTGTCATTTCACATGTCTCGTTCAAGTCCATGAGTAAGCCCTTAAGGCAGCGTTCTTCTTGGATTCTTTCTAGATTTAGCACCGGGTCCCTCGCAAATATTTTCGCTGATTTCTTTTCGACTTTCATGGTCTGCCGTCTGCTGTCTAAGGGGGGGTAAACATCAGGCTTCGAGGTAGGTTCACCTTCCAGTACCCAGACCCAGTTCGGGACTGGCAGTGTGGCATACTGCGTAGCCACACGGGGCTGCAGGGCCCGTCCCGCATTCTCAGCCTAAAAGCCTAGAAATAAGGTCTTACAGGCCCCTGTCGTTTCAGCCCGAAAACTGAAAATGAGGGGCTGCAGGCCCTATTTCGTTTTCAGCCTAAGACAAGGCTTTTCAGCCCTGAGGCTTTTCAGCCTGAAACGGAGGTAAGATCGACCTACCCTAACACTCAGGCACAAAACCAGGGTTTCGGGAACAGGCTATCTTTAGCCTGTTCCCACAACAGCCTCAAGCAGGAGCTGCAGCGGCAGCCCCTGACTCCCTTCGGCATTGGCAAGAGCAGCCTCCTGGACTGCCTCGCCCTGCAGTCAGGAGGCAGGCCGAGTGGTACATAGGGAGTTCCCATGCACTTCACGGGTAGGT